TGCCAAGAACGGATGCTTTCTGGAAAAAGAGTTTCTCTCGAAAGAAGTAAGTGGGAGGAAAGTAGAACTCGATGAAGTACTACCTCTTGAGCGGGAAAGTGGCGCAGCGCAGGAAACCGTTCCTGTGATGCCCACACCAACTGAAGAGGAAAACAATGATGATGATCAAGGTACTTCGGATCAAGTTACTACTGAACTTCGTAGGTCCACAAGGACACGTTCCGCACCAGAGTGGTACGGCAACCCTGTCCTGGAAATCATGTTGTTAGACAACAATGAACCTTCGAACTATGAAGAAGCGATGGCGGGCCCGGATTCCAACAAATGGCTTGAAGCCATGAAATCCGAGAAGAATCCATGTATGAAAACAAAGTATGGACTTTGACAGACTTGCCCGATGATCGGCGAGCGATAGAAAACAAATGGATTTTTAAGAAGAAGACGGACATGGATGGTAATGTTACAATCTATAAGGCTCGACTTGTCGCTGAGGGTTATCGACAAGTTCAAGGGATTGACTACGACGAGACTTTCTCTCCCGTAGCGAAGCTGAAGTCCGTCCGAATCATGTTAGCAATTGCCGCATACTATGATTATGAGATATGGCAGATGGACGTCAAAACAACATTCCTTAACGGGCATCTTAAGGAAGAGTTGTATATGATGCAGCCGGAAGGTTTTGTCGATCCTCGGAACGCTAACAAAGTATGCAAGCTCCAGCGATCCATTTATGGACTGGTGCAAGCATCTCGGAGTTGGAACATTCGCTTTGATGAGATGATCAAAGCGTTTGGGTTTATGCAGACTTATGGAGAAGCCTGCGTTTACAAGAAAGTGAGTGGGAGCTCTGTAGCATTTCTCATATTATATGTAGATGACATACTCTTGATGGGAAATAATATAGAATTTCTGGACAGCATTAAGGCCTACTTGAATAAGTGTTTTTCAATGAAGGACCTTGGAGAAGCTGCTTATATATTAGGCATCAAGATCTATAGAGATAGATCGAGACGCCTCATAGGTCTTTCACAAAGCACATACCTTGATAAGATTTTGAAGAGGTTCAAAATGGATCAGTCCAAGAAGGGGTTCTTGCCTATGTTACAAGGTGTGAAATTGAGCTCGGCTCAGTCACCGACCACGGCAAAAGATAAAGAAGAGATGAGTGTCATCCCCTATGCTTCAGCCATAGGATCTATTATGTATGCCATGCTGTGTACCAGACCCGATGTAAACCTTGCCGTAAGTTTGGTAGCAAGATACCAAAGTAATCCCGGCAAGGAACACTGGACAACGGTCAAGAATATCCTGAAGTACCTGAAAAGGACGAAGGACATGTTTCTCGTTTATGGAAGAGACGAAGAGCTCGTCGTAAAGGGTTACGTCGACGCTAGCTTCGACTCAGATCTGGATGACTCTAAGTCACAAACCGGATACGTGTATATGTTGAATGGTGGAGCAGTAAGCTGGTGCAGCTGCAAGCAGAGCATCGTGGCGGGATCTACGTGTGAAGCGGAGTACATGGCAGCCTCGGAGGCAGCGCATGAAGCGATTTGGGTGAAGGAGTTCATCACCGACCTAGGAGTCATACCCAATGCGTCGGGGCCGATCAAACTCTTCTGTGACAACACTGGAGCTATTGCCCTCGCAAAGGAGCCCAGGTTTCACAAGAAGACCAGGCACATCAAGCGTCGTTTCAACTCCATCCGTGAAAATGTTCAAGATGGAGACATAGAGATTTGCAAAGTGCACACAGATCTGAATGTCGCAGATCCGCTGACTAAACCTCTCTCGCGTGCAAAACATGATCAACACCAGAACTCTATGGGTGTTCGATTCATCACAATGTAACTAGATTAGTGACTCTAGTGCAAGTGGGAGACTGTTGGAAATATGCCCTAGAGGCAATAATAAAAGTATTATTATATTTCAATGTTCATGATAAATGTCTTTTATTCATGCTATAACTGTATTATCCGGAAATCGTAATACACGTGTGAATACTTAGACCACAATATGTCCCTGGTGAGCCTCTAGTTGACTAGCTCGTTGTGATCAACAGATAGTCATGGTTTCCTGACTATGGACATTGGATGTCGTTGATAACGGGATCACATCATTAGGAGAATGATGTGATGGACAAGACCCAATCCTAAGCATAGCATAAAAGATCGTGTAGTTCGTTTTGCTAGAGCTTTGCCAATGTCAAGTATCTCTTCCTTCGACCATGAGATCGTGTAACTCCCGGATACCGTAAGAGTGCCTTGGGTGTATCAAACGTCACAACGTAACTGGGTGACTATAAAGGTGCATTACAGGTATCTCCGAAAGTATCTGTTGGGTTGACACGGATCGAGACTGGGATTTGTCACTCTGTATGACGGAGAGGTATCTCTGGGCCTACTCGGTAATGCATCATCATAATGAGCTCAATGTGACCAAGGTGTTGGACACGGGATCATGCATTACGGTACGAGTAAAGTGACTTGCCGGTAACGAGACTGAACAAGGTATTGGGATACTGACGATCGAGTCTCGGGCAAGTAACGTACCGATTGACAAAGGGAATTGTATACAGGGTTTGATCGAATCCTCGACATCGTGGTTCATCCGATGACAACATCGAAGAGCATGTGGGAGCCATCATGGGTATCCAGATCCCGCTGTTGGTTATTGACCTGAGAGCGTCTCGGTCATGTCTGCATGTCTCCCGAACCCGTAGGGTCTACACACTTAAGGTTCGGTGACGCTAGGGTTATTAGGAAGACTAGTATGTGACTACCGAATGTTGTTCGGAGTCCCGGATGGGATCCTGGACGTCACGAGGAGCTCCGGAAGGGTCCGGAGGTAAAGATTTATATATGGAAAGTTGTCAAACGGGCACCGGGAAGTTTCGGGGTCATACCGGTATTGTACCGGGGCCACCGGAAGGGTTCCGGGGGTCCACCCCTCCCAGGGGGCCACATGGGCTGCGTGGGGCAGGGAGCCAGCCCCTGGTGGGCTGGGCGCACCCCCTCCCTTGGGCCCTTGCGCCTAGGGTTGAGGGGGGAACCCTAGAGGGGGCGCCCCCCTTGGCTTGGGGGGCAAGCCACCCTCTCCCCCTCTCCCCTTGGCCGCCGCACCCCCCCCCCTAGATGGGTTCTAGGGGGCCGGCCCCCCTTCTCCCTTCCCCCTATAAATAGAGGGGTGAGGGGAGGGCAGCCGTACCACCCTCCAAGGCGCAGCCCTCCCCTCCCCAACACCTCTCCTTTCTCCGTTGTGTGCTTGGCGAAGCCCTGTCGGAGTACTGCCTCTCCACCATCACCACGCCGTCGTGCTGCCGGTGGAGCTGTCTTCCTCAACCTCTCCTTCCCCCTTGCTGGATCAAGAAGGAGGAGACGTCTCCCGTCCTGTACGTGTGTTGAACGCGGAGGTGCTGTCCGTTCAGCACTTGGTCATCGGTGATTCGAATCACGTCGAGTACGACTACATCATCACCTTGCAAGCTTCCGCACGCGATCTACAAGTGGTATGTAGATGCAAACTCTCTCCCTTGACTCGTTGCTTAGATGAACTCATAGATGGATCTTGGTGAAACCGTAGGAAAAATTTTAATTTTCTGCAACGTTCCCCAACAGTAGGAGCTAGATTATCTAAACAGAGAGAGGGACGAGCTTCACCACTTTCTCGTCGGTCCTTGGCCCTTCCGGTCACCGGCACTGCTGTATGGGCCCGCGGCAGGAGGTGTGTCATCGTCGGAACCGTCGCTGTCATCGGAGGAGGAAGAGTTGATGATGATGTACCCCTTCAAGCATCGGACGATGTGGTCCTGCTTCCGCTTCGCCACCCTCGCTGCCTCCGCCGCCTCCCGCTCGGACTGCTGAATGTCGAGTTGGAGCGCCTTGGCATCGATCCTCCGGAGCCGCCGTACCTCCATCTCCACTGTCGTAAGTGACCGGCAGTACACCCACTGGAGGAGACGCTCATCGTCGTCGGGCACCGCTGGCATCATGCGGCGGTGGCGGGAGGATTGCGCAGCTGCTCCGCGCTGCCCTCATCTCCCTTGCCCTCTGCCTCTCGCGGTGGGCGACTCGCGCCTCCGATGCCGGAGTGCGCATCCGCGGTGCCGGCGGAGCGGGCACTAGATCCCACCGCTACCCACGCGCAGCAGCAGCCGGAGGTGAAGGAGGCCAACGGACGGGCGGTGTCGATTGAGCTGCCCTCACAGATCCGCGCGCAGGGCGGGAAGGGCCGGCATCGGTGCTATGGCCGCAGGCGACAAGTTGGCATATCACCTGAACCGGAGATGTCGCATGTGTCCACCCGCGAGCGCTCCACTGCGATGCGGAGGGCCAGCTCGTCGTTGTCTCCTGTACCATGGCGAAGGAAGGCGCCCAGTCATCATCGCCAAAGTTGTCGGAGTGGCTGACGGTGCTGGACATGGGCGCCAGCACTCTGGAGTTGACGGATTGGAACAAAGGGGAGCGGAGCGGAGTGAAGTGAGACTAGGGCTTGATCCAGACAGGTATTTGTGGGGTCGCGATGGGCCAGAGGTGGGCCGGGTGGACATGGGGGACGCGCCCGGGCCGCCTCATATCCGCCCTACATTTAGGCTGGATATGAGGGGTTTTGGTCAGCCCGGACGTTTGAGGCCGATTTGAGGCATCTAGTTAGAATGGTTTTTTGTGATTGGTCTGCCCCTTCGGGCGTTTGAGATGGGCTTGAGACGTCTGGCAGTAGATGCTCTTAGCTAACAAGATCGGTCTGTCCAAAACGTTGCATCTATCCCATGTTAGGGGCAGGGTTGGACTGCTGAGTTGCATATATGTCGGTAAATATGTTACAGTTAAAGGACTAGAGTGTGAAACGAAAATATAGAGTGTGTCAGCAGATCCACAGATCCTGTGAGACGCCTGCTAAATTTAACCTCACTGCTACTCGTCCTCCCCCCGACTCCAAACCCTAACACCCAAAAATCCTCCAAAATCTATTCGGCGGCCGCACCGCAGGCACACGCGACGATGCCGCCGAGGCTGGTGCGGGAGCTGGGCGAGATGGAGGAGCTCGTGGAGGAGATCCTCACCCGCCTCCCGCCGGACGAGCCAGGTAATCTTCTCCGCGCCTCCCTCGCCTGCAAGCCATGGCGCGGCCTCGTCGCCAGCCACGGCTTCCGTCGCCGCTACGCCGACTTCCACCGAACACCTCCCATGCTCGGCTTCCTCCACAACTGGCCGAAAACCCGCGCTGAGTTCTTCCCCACCACGGATTTCCTCGCGCGCGGCCCCGACGACAAGCACCAATATTCCGTGAAAGATTGTCGCCACGGCCGCGTCCTCCTTTCGTACAAGGATAACAATCAGCCGATCTTCGTCGTCTGGGACCCCATGACGGGCGGCCAAACGGTGCTGTGCCGCCCCGAGATGTCGGGAGCGAGCAGATGGCAAGCCTCGGTGCTCTGTGCCGCGGACAGCTGCAGCCACGGTGACTGTCCCTTCGTCGTGGTTTTTGTCACCCTTGACGAACAAGAGGGGGTCGCCATGGCGTCCGCGTACTCGTCGGAGACGAGTACTTGGTGCTCTCCGGCCTTAACTGCCATTGCTCCTTTTGAGGAAGAAATCGACTTCTGTAACTCGCCTAGTGTTCTGGTTGGAGACGCGCTCTATTTCCTCGTTTTCCGGGAGCAGGAGGACGAGGTTACTGAAGATAGTATTCTCAAGTACGATCTGGGCAAGTCTTGCCTGTCGGAGATTCTTCTGCCGGAAGAAGAGGTCGAGCGTGCCAGCAACAATCCTATCCTCATGGTGGGGGAAGACAGCAGGCTGGGGATCGCACACCTCTTCTTTTACTGCCTCTCCGTCTGGTGGAGGGAGGTGGATCCCGATGGAGTAGCGTCGTGGACGCAACGGATAGACATCGACCTCAAGACTGATCTTTTTCCCCTTGGCAATTTTTCGATACCACCAGAGTTGGGTGGCTCTGTCGAGGGCACTGGCATCATTTTTGTAATCTCAAAAGTTGGCACCTACATGATTGATCTCAAGTCGCAAACCTCGAAGAAGCTCTCGAGCAAGCTGTATCAACATCCAAATGTTAGATGGTCCCTCTTTCCCTATGTTAGCTTCTACTATCCACCAGGTACTACCTTACCTATGTTTTATATGTTCTCTCCTAGTTGTAATTTGTGTATAAATGTTTATTATTGTAACACATTTCAGTTAGTGTCACAGATAAAAGTAGTGAGTGTAGACCGTAAGGTGATTTCTCATCGTACTGATAATTGTTTCTTTGTTTAGCGGTGGCTGGTGTTGTGGCTGAATCATCAAATGAAGCTGGACACGGCAATGAGAAAGCATAACTCTCAAGCAATGGAAGTTCAGTTTGCTGTTTTGGTGTTGGCTTTGGTTTTGTTTTCAAGTTAGATGGATGATGGGAGAGTAGTGTGAGTTGGATGAGTGATGGGAGAGTTGTGTTGTGTCTTGCTGATTAAGAACCCGTCTCTAATTTTTATAGCCATGCTATTGATGTTTTAGTTGTTCAAACCCTGATTTCGTTAAGCAGGGAAAAGTTGCCTTTTGTGTAAAAATTGGCTGCAAGTTGTATGCACAATTATACATTTCTCTCTAAAGAAATTTGTATGTTTAAATTGTGCTAGCTGCATACTGTTGTGCATGGATCACACAGTAATCTAATAATGACCCTCCCAGCTATATATGACACCCTCACAGATGAGAAGCTTGCTCACATGCCTGGTTGAGGATCAGCGGTGGCCTCTTTTGCCTCTTGTATCTCCAGCTATAAGCATGACTTATGCAGATCTGGGAAAGAAGAGAAGATGACGAATCTACGGGAAGTGTTTGATCAAGAAGAAGATCAAGGTGATTTTCTCTCTCGCCAACAAAATCAAGTTTGTTACTGCACATTGATGTTATGGTTTCTGGTAAAGCAAACATGAGTTTTGCATACTTTCACTGTCGAATTCCGGACTGTTTTTAATAGTTTTGTAGGAAAAATCTGTGCCTTCTGCCCTGATCAGTAGATTTGTCACTGTTGCCATTCTCATGCCTATAGTTGGATGCCCTACTTGGAGTGATTTTGGCTTGCAATTTGAGCGCTATGCAAATTTTGGGTGGTCAAGTGTTTCAGGACAAAATAATATAATATAATTCAGTAATAACAAAGGAAACATGTATAATAAATACAACTGCACCTTTATACTGTTTTTCTAGATTTATTTTAATGTAAAGGCTAAAGAGACACTATATAGGAATATATTTTTTTTGCAGGAAACACTATATAGGAATATTAGCATATGTTTGTCTTGTTTTTTGTTTTTTAGGGAAGGCCGTCAAATAATCAACATATGTTTGTCTTGTTGGTTGCACCTATAAAGTGCACTTTTGGACAACGGGGGCATTGGAGCCCCTTTTTTGACCACCCCAAAATAAGTGCTTACAAGTTTTGAAATATTTTGATTTTTTCCACATGAATACGCACGTATGAGCTCTAAGTACCTGTGAAATTTCGTTCAAAAATATGTTGTATTGTATGATGCGCAAAAAAGACAAAATTTTGGCCCAAAATCAACAAAAACAAGCCCTAAATTTGCATGAAATTTTTCTTTTTCTATCTCTCACATGCAAGCACGTATATTAGTGAAATTTTGGCCCGTTATATGTGCATGTACACAAAAATTTAGAATTTTTCAAACCGTAGAAACCTGTTTTTTGAACTTCAAAAAAAATGCCCTGGTGGTCAGATGTCACTTTTTGGTTGCACCTACCCATTTGGGGTTTCTGGGGAATGCATTTGCATCAGACTATCAGATCTTAGTTGTTGTTCATTCATACCTTTTTTTTTTGTGAATGCATTCATAACATAACTACATGTTAAATAAGGTCATGGTGCACAACTCTCATTTTTAATACACATAACAGGTGCTTCTCTTTTCTACTTATAGTGAATGTGACATTAAATTCTTCTTTTTTCGCAGTGTCTCCTTTTCCCTCTTTACCGAAAAAGTTTTTTTTTTACCGAAAAAGTCCTTTTCCCTCTTTGAGCTACTAGTTTCTTAGACATGCAGTTACGCACATCATCGGTTCATTGCGTAAATGCTACTGCCTTATTCCGTTGTTTTGCCTCATGTCCCGCTTTTGCTGTGTTCCCATGCGAGCAGGTACAGGCTATATATATGTTTCATAGATTCTCAGTCATGTACATTAGGTAAAAAAAATTGGTCTTTGCAAAGACGGTTGTTTTCTTATGGGGAGTGAAATATGGATTTTACCGCTTGTGGATTGTGCTGAGAATTTTGCTGTGGCTCGCAATATAGCTGAGCGGGTACACAGGACTATTGCTGAGCTTACAGACATGGATCCTTGGGAAACAGAGTTATTATTTTGGGTCTTGTTCAGTTTCATGTGTCTCACTGGGCAAGACTATCCTCTTCTGTCCTGTTCAATTTTATTTGTCTTGGATCTGCTTCAATGCTTCACACATTCACCTTCTAGCTCCAATCATCCGTGAAGTCCAGTACATTATTTCCTTGTGAGCAGCTGATCAGCTAACATCCTTTTCGTTTGTTCAAGAACCAGTTGGAAATTTCATTATTTAGTCTTTGGAATTTCACATGGCTTGATGTACTGCCTGAAAATATTGGATGGAGTCTTACATGATGTAGGGGCACCCGGGTGTTGAAAGTCCTGTCTCAAACCTGCTATCCTGAACTGTGTTACAGAATTGCTTTGCCTTTTCCATTTGTAATAACAAAAGCTGTGTTAGAGCAAGTCCAACGCGGATCACCAAAATGGACATCACCAATGTCCGGGGACATGTCTGAAATTTAACAAATATTATCATGTTTAGCATGAATTTGGTCCCTGGGACAAAAATAATAAATCTTCAACTAAATTGAATGAAATCTTAAGAAAAAACTAACCTAAATTGTGTGAGGTACTGGACGGTGACCTCGTAGGCATGACCTCCGAGGCCGCCGGTACCTCTGTCGTCGCTTGTGTCGCCTTGATGTAGTCGTTGTTGTCTAAGTAGTCGACGTCGTTGTCCTTCCGGCGGCGGAAATGCCGCCAGGTGTCATGGCAGCCCTAATCGGTTGTTGCATGATCGCGGCGTAGTCGCTTGGCCTCCTACGATCGGCGCAGAGCTTGAGCCTACCCTGCCTAGCGGTGAAGATCGGTCGTGGACTCCGCCCCGCGCCTCTCGCCTTTGAGGAGGGAAGAGCGCTCGGACTTGGTCAATCCCACTTTGAGGAGCTGGTCGTTGATCCAGCGCCAGTGGCGGGAGGATGTTTGCACGGTTCTCCTGGACCAATCAATGGCCTAGACCTCCACGAGGGTGGGGTTCGCGGGCACCCAGACGAGGGTGTCATTCGACAATGCAAATGTCGCCCAGTGATGTGCGTTGTGTTGTGCCGCTCCCAGCACACCATCTCGGAGGTTGACGTCACGGTGGTAGACGAGCCCCCGACACCATTGCGGTAGTACAAGATGTGATGGAGGCTCCTTCACAGCGACCTGGCGCCACTAGCTCCCGGACTCCCGTCGGGGCGGTGATGGCAACACCGCCTCCTTGCCATTATGGAGAATGATGAGCGGCGACGACGGCTCCTCCTTGATGTGGTGTCCTATTTAAACACCCGGTTGCACGGGAGTGAGGGCGGCGCCGGAACATGGTCGTAGCAAGACCGCTTGAGCAACAGCTCCATCTACCATGTGAACTCCTTGTCCATTCAAGGGGTGGTTGTTGCTGCTCCTTGTCATCGGACGAGATGGGCTCCGGCTTTACAGAGGAGGGAGTGGTGGATGCCGACGGGCCCAGATACTAGGAGAGGCGGCTGTTGCGAGCGCGGCAACAGCCATTCTGCGCTCCGCCAGGAGCGTGGGGCGGCGTGAGCGCAACTGCTCCGGCATATTCTAAAATCCTACACACAATTTTTTTGGAAATGTTCACATATTCTAAAATTATTTACAAATTTAATTAATATTTGTGAATTTTTTAAATCATGAATATGAAGAAATATTTGCAAGTTCTAAAAAATCACAAATTTTAAATTGTTTAAAATTCTAAAAAAATGTTTGTGAATTTGAAAATTGTTTAAAAATTCTTAGCTCCTTAGGTATGTTGTCACTACGTGCGTTGGGGCTTTGGGATTCATTGGTGGGCCTATTTATTTGTGGTTATTTTGCACATTCAGGTTATTTGGGCCTGTTACAAGCTGTCATGACAGTAGTATGGTGTTCTTTGTGTTACGTCTCGGTGTGTGTGTTGTGTTTGTGGTCGATTAGTTCCGCAGGCTAAAACGGAGCTCACATTATTACTATTGGTCGTCACCAAGACTAAAATGTATATTGATAATACCGCCAAACACCAAATAATTTCACAGTCCTCTCAAAATAAGTAAAACATGGAGCATCAAGCCAAGCCAGTGCCAGCGAATAAGAACACCACCATCCTGAGCATTACGAAAGCCCAACCTAGCAGAGATAAAAACGAAATTGAATCAACCGACCGTAACAACATAAAATCTGAGAGGTCATGTCCCACGTGTAACATGCAGGATAGCAAGCAAACACGCAGTAGCCCCCCCTCCCGACTTATGGGCCCCGCCTCCCTTCTAATTTCGAATAAAAAACTACCACATAATCACAACCCGTTAATCCATAAAACCCACCCGTGCGTGTAGCATTACTCCCCTCGCCCCATGTAGCGCCATGTTCGTATAGTGTTGGCGTTTTTTCTTTATCATCTTTTCAGCATACATTTTTTTTATTTCCGTTGGTTTTTTATTAAAATGTTTTCCAAAAGTTTGCACTCCCTCCGTCCACTTTTAAAGTCATTTCAGACAACTAAAATTGAGCTATTTTACACGCTGTCTGAAGTGTCTACAACACCTTAAAAAGGTGAACAGCGGGAGTAGAACACTCAGGATTTGCGAGCAAGTGCACATGGGCGTGGCTCATGTAGCGCTAAGTGGATGTTGGTTGGCAAATAAATCTGCTCGGTTCTAAACTATTTATTTTATTTTGTTTTGTGTTTCTATGAAAACACTTTTCATTAAAAAAACTCACAGTTATTTTGTGATTTTTTAAAAAAATACAAATTGTAAAAAACATTCACGAATTTAAATATATTTTAGAAATTTAGAAAAAAAATCCCGAATATGAAACATATATTCATGAATTCTCAAAAATATTCACGTGTTTTAAATTTGTTCATAAATTTAAAAAAACAACCTGGATTAAAAAATGTTAATGAATATGAAAATCTTCACAAAATATTTTAAAATGGTCGCAATTTTGAAGAAAAAAATGAATTTTCCAAATAATATTCATAAATATTAAA